CTCTCTCTCTCTCTCTCTCTCTCCCTCCCTTCCCCCACTCTCACTCGCTCTTTCTATCTCTCTTTCTCACTCTCTTTCCTTCAGTCTCACCGTCATGCATGCAAAAGCATGCACCAGAAAAATAACAGTTCATCACTATATCAAGTAAGCATTTGTAAATAAGTAATAATGCTTCAGCTGTTTATTTTTTAAATAAGAATATTAGGAGCACTCGTAATTTGATATGGGAGTTAAAACTATACATTGGGACCAAAGCAGGAAAAGGAACTCTCACTGTGCCCAGTAATTTTGTTTTGGCCTTCAAAGAACCAGTTTGTCAGTGTTTTCTGTAAGAGCTTTGGGTTGCTGCTATACGTCCAGGAATTGTTTATGTTGGTTCAGTATCATTTAGACATTTAAAATAGAACACGGCAGTTTTGTATTTGATCTTTTCTTTTACTGGCAGCCAATGTTGTTCTTACAGAATAGGGGTTATGTGCTCTTATTTCTTTTGTTTCATTCTCAGTTTTCCTGCTAACTAAAATAGCAATACAGTAGATTCTAATCCAATAGTGATAAAAAAATCAGTGTTGTTACTAACGCCTTGGTTGCTGCTATAGCTAAGTGATTTCAACTCTGCTAATGTATATTATTATTGAAAGCTAAAAATGGATACTTTTGCCGAGTTGGCTCATTTCGGCAGACACAGACATACCATTATCCACCTGGAGCCTAGATTTTTAAGACTTCACTCTGAACTAATGGCGTAATTACTGATGTCAATTTGCAGTTCCATGTGAATACTAGATCTAATTGCTGTAGCATTTCCACTCAAAATTATTTCTGTCTTGGCATCATTCAGCTTCAATTAATTACTGCTTATCCATATTTTTAACTCCCGGATACATTCATGCTCAGTGGAGTCTACTAAAATGACGTTTGATCCAAATCAATAGACGGAGTGGCATAAAGATGGTAATTTATGTCATATTGTCTTGAAATATTAGCAATGGGCTGGGAACATTTTTTTAATGAAACAGATCCAAGAATAGACCCCTGGGGAACACCATAATATCTTAATATTTGAGCAGTTCATTATCTGAGCACGTGCTTTTCTACCACAGCTGCTTACATTCAATCATTAAGATATGACTCGAACCATCGCAAGACGGTACCTTTCACACCAAAAGTAGTATTTAGTCTCTGAGTAATATGTCATGATTATTGGTATCGAATGCAGCCGAAAGGTCCAAAATGCGTAAGAAGACACTTTATTTCATCTTTCTTTTTAAAGTGTCAGCACTGACTTTACGTAATGCTGTCTCGGTACTATGGTGTACATAATGCCGACTGGTTAACTTCACTACGCTGTAAGAGTCTATTACAAATAAGTTTTTCCAGGATTTTCGATTAAAAAGTGAAAGATTTGAAACTGATCTGAAATTTTCAGTCTTTTTTATCAAGTCCAGCTTTTTTCCAAAGGGGTCTTACATGTGCTGTTTTAAATCAATTTGATACTGTGCCTGTGAGGAGAACATTTATATATAGGGTAAGGTGTGGAAGAGATTCATCTAAACAACTTGTTTTAAAGGTAGGTGGGTATATGGACTAATACACATGTTTTTGATGGAGTAGATCTATCTGAAACAATCTGTTTGATTTCATCTTCTGTTGCTGGAGTAAAGTCATCGGTGACACTCGTATCAAAGTGGTGGCAATTCGGGGAAATTGAGTACATATTATTAGGGACCGTTCACAAATGATGTCAGCTAAAATTTGGACAAAAAATGACCCCCCCCCCTACCCCATTGTCGTCTTCTGTCATCTTTCTCAGGACCCCCCCCCCCCCCCCCAACCCCCGTAGTTGACGTGAACCAAAATGTACATGTACATTTAGATATACGAGTATCCTGTACAGGGTGCATTTTATATTTGTAACTTTGATCTTTATTTTAAAGTTTTTAAAATAAAAACGAAATCTATTGTTTATTTAAGAATACAACAAAGAAATACCTGTAAAGTCAATTTATTAATTAACAACTTTAACCAATCAAAACAATTTAGGCCAAGAAAATGTGATCTATAATTTTTCAGCTGCTTTACTTTTGTTTTGTTTTCTTTTTTTTTCCCCAACCTTTTAAAGCATCATGGTTGACGCCAACTTTGTAAAAGCCCCCCCCCCCCCCCTAAAAACACACACGCACACACAATGTCCACTTTAAAAAAAACTTTTCACCGACCCCCCCCCCCCCCCCCCCCCCCTCTTCCCCTCTGAGCTGAGGCCATTTGTGAACGGTCTCTTATTGTCGAGTCCTTGTTAGATTAAGGTGATTTTGTTAGACAAATAGATCTAGGCCGAAAAGTTACTACATACATGTAGTTCTTTGTCGGTGCCAGGGTGTAACGCTATTACTTTCAGATTGCCAAGCAGATCACTAGAGATTGTATTTAAAAATGAAATTCTTAAATCTTTGTTTTTACTCTTCGTTTCTTTAAAAAGGTGTTACTGATGATGGTGGTGTGGATGATGATGTGATGCCGATGCTGATGATGATGATCATGATGATGATGATAATGATGATGATGATGATGATTATTTTTTCTTATCATGCTTACTAAGCTACAGCTATGATGATGACGATGATGATGATGATGATGATGATGATGATGATGATGATGATGATGATGATGATGATGGTGATGGTGATGGTGATGTGGTGATGATTATGACTTTTTTCTTATCATGCTTACTAACTTACCGCTATGATGATGATGATGATGATGATGATGATGATGATGATGATGGTGATGGTGATGGTGATGGTGGTGGTGGTGGTGGTGGTGGTGGTGGTGGTGATGGTGATGGTGATGGTGGTGATGATTATGATCCTAATGATGATTATGCGGATGATTGTATACGGTTTCAATACCGTTTCCCACAGGAGCCAATCCGAGCATTCGGTTCCTTGGTCGGTATGCTGGGTACAACACAGACCTAGCTGTTGCCATTTTTCCTAACGGTGCCTGCTACCACCGCAAAGACCTGCACACCTTCTACAGTTATGAGTACATTGACGCCTGTTTCGACAAGGCGACTGAACTCCAGAAAGAGGGACTACCTTCTGAGGTGATGGTACTACTGAAGGCTTTGTCTCTGACAATGTCAGGTTAGTAGTTCGGCTTTTTTCTTTTGTTTTATGTTTATGTCCTTTGTGTCTGTGTCTGTCGTTGGTCTCGAATTTTCTTTCTTTCTTTCTTTCTTATTCTTTCTTTCTTTCTTTCTTTCTTTCTTTCTTCTGCTGAAGGTTTTTGACTTTGACAATGTCATGTTAGTTGAAGACTAGATCTAGGTTTGTTTCTTTCGTTTTATGTTTTCTCTGTCTATCTGTCTCTCTCCCTGTCGTTTCTTTTATTCTTTTTCTTTCTTTCTTTCTTTCTTTCTTTCTTTCTTTCTTTCTTTCTTTCTTGAAATCAAATATTTGTACCTCTTACCTATACCTATTCAAACAGGAAATTCCGGTTTGTCTTTTACTTAAAACCTGTGAAAATGATATAAATAAATCTAATGGTTGAAAATAACGCTAAACAGACAAAAGCTCAGACGTCGACGGTGTAATAGTATTGCTTTTTTCTCTTTGCCGTAGTGTACATAAAACATAAGTTCGTTCCATTGTGAAAATGTCGACTGTATCCAAAGATCGTATATAACTAATTTATTACATGAGTTGTAGTGGTAGGCATAGATCATGATTAATCCTTCAAGTAAATTTGCCAAGTTGTAATCACGAGTTCCAACGAGTGAATACAATGGTAATTTCACATGTAGGAAAAATAATGGTCGAGATCTACTACCATAACGAATGTAATAAATTTGTTTAAATACCATACTGATATCAACTGGCGAAAAAGATCCGGGCCACCAAAGTTCAAATGACCATCCAATTGGACAAGAGGATTGATTCAAGATTCTAATATGAAAACAAAATGTTCATGCCCGTCTGGGTCAGGGTGAGGATTAGAATAAAATCTGGAAAGTTTTCCTTTGTTTTTAGCCCCGCTAATTGACATGTTCTGATATCCGGTGCCTCCTTCCGCGAAATAAACCCCAAGCAAAATAATAATAACGTAAGCATAGCCAAAGCAAGCAGAAAACGTACGATTCAAAAGTTTAAAAAACTTAAAAAACTGTATTTATATGACATGTTGCCGTGAAAATAAAGATTACTTTGATTTCAAACTGTGCAACAACAACAACAACAACAACAACAACAAAAAAAGGAAAGGCACGGAGTTATTTGCAAGCTTAGGGCAATAACATAGAGAAACTTAAGCGGCTGAAGATCGACGCGGACAGGCGCCAGTAGGTGTATGCTGTGACTCCACATAGAGGGCGCCTAAAGCCTAGATCTAGATATAAGAAAATACAATTACACCACAGCAGAGCTGGTATTTATGAAGCATTTATTTGGGGATAAAAAAAAACCCTCGAGATTCCTAAAATATTTCTAAAATGTAATTCTCCCCGATTGCCACCCTAATTAGACAACGCCAATTTAAAAAAATGTGATTAGTTTTTGTCTACCGTGAAGCACCAGCTCTGAAAAGGCCATTTAAAATTGTCCCCTGCCCAGTCGGGTGACGTCACGAAAACCGACCCGAGTTGGTGACGCGAGACGGCATTGAGAGTTCGCGACCTCAGTGCTCTCTTGTCGCATCTCAATTTTTGTTTTGTTTGTTTTTGTAAAGTGTTTTACGGCGCTCGCAACTGCATAGGTCACATGAGCGCGCGGGACACACCTAATAATATTTTCAGTTGGTAGGAAATTTTGAATTTTGCCCGGGTGGCGGCCGAAGCCTACTCTTATCGATTTTAGACCACCAAGGGATCTTTAACGTGCGCAACTTGCACACGGGCCCTCCGAGATTTTTCGCCCTTGTCCGAGAAGGCTAGGTGTAGATCTTTCCTATCAGAAGATCAGGGGTGTGGCAGAAGGACAGCAGTAAGAAGAAGCCAAGGAGTAGCAGTAGAAAGGCTGCAGAAAGAGTCAGGAGCCCAGAGGAGGGGGCAAAGGAGGTGAGGGGGTGGGGGCAGAAAGTGGACATGAAAGCAGACAACAGAACATTGCTAGAGAGCAGGAAAGGAGGTGAAAGGAGACAATTTTAGAGAAGAAAATTTTTCGGTCGCTACCCGGATTCGAACCCGGGACCTTTGAATGAGAGGCCAACATCTTAACCTCTAGGCCACGAGAGCCCCCTCTCAATTTTTAATAACAGTGAAAGCAGTTAACAACAAAAAGTGAGCTTAAGAAGAAGTCACATTTTCACTGTTAAAAATGGAGATGGGACAAGAAAGCACTGAGGTCGCTTGTTGACAGCGAGACGCCCTTCCCAGTTTATCAGCGTAATAAGAATGTAGTTTGGATTCTGATAAAGCCGACAACGCCGATCCGAGCTCAAAGCCGGCTGCAGTATGCCAGCTCTGTATGGGGCAACTTGGAAATCATTAGGGAATTTTTATACCTTTCGGCGTTTACTGAGTCAGTCTCCAAAACCGGCGTTCTCTATGTTTTCGCCCACAGGCCGAGCTAGACTTGCTGCCAGCATTGCACTAAAATTAAATACATCGCCGCACTCTGGCGTAATCCCGGTTCACTATGGTGCGCACCATAATTTGACTCAATTTGCAACAAAATTAAAGACAATGTAGAGAATTGTGCCTACTCTCTACTTGGCCTATAGGGACAGTTGGAGACTGGTGTTTGGCACTTCATTTTGGTGAGCCGGCTTTGCAGCCAAGTTTTTTCAGCGGACAAAAAGCGTCTGCCATAACATTGCACGGTGTAGAAATAGCATGGTTCAATTCTATACTTTGCTTACAAAAGGTTAGAAGGCGAATATAGATCTAGATAGTGCGTGAAGTAATTTATGCAAATTTTTATATTTCACGTATGAGATATTATCATCTTAGGCCTATGTTTCACGTGTGAAATTCATATAAGGATATATTTTACCGGAAGTGCAAAACTAAAACAACTCCAAGTATGGTGTAAAACGAGATAATTCATTAGTTCATTCAGCCAAATAAAATGTCCACGAAAGTCCGCGCGTTGGTTCAGATTGCGCTGCAGTCTTTGTTTTGAAGCTCTCTTTCGTTTCTCCAGAAGAAGAATAGGAATAGCAGAGTTTGTTATTTTCACATTTATTGTTGTTCACACTAGTAGGGTAACTCTGATCGCAAAGTCCGCACTTTTTCGAATAGGACGCCACCGAAATTTGAGGACATTTTAAAAAATTGGCTCAAAGAGTGGAGTGACCTATCTTGTTATGCACGACCTTTGCTTTATCGAGTATCGTCGTCTGCACGCCATGCTTTTGTATTCTTCTCAGACCGGGGCTAAAGAGCCTGCTTACTGCTTACTACATTGTCTAAAATTGTATTTATGGAGTCATGGAATAATTACAACAAACCAATCATTTCTCTCCATGCATGAATGAAACCTCTGATATAACCCGTGAAACCACACAGGTTGATCAAGTGTTTTTTAAATCTAACGCTACAACATTACGATCCTCGTCCATTGACATTTCCAATTTGCTCTGCATTAATTTGTTTCCGCAGACACGGGAAAACTCAAGAATCCTTACGCTGTCGAAAGTCTCCAGAACCTTCTTCTGACTTGCTTGCGTCATTCCCTTAGGAACAGTCACCCTCACGCTGATCCCCTTGCCATGGTGGGCCAAGCCTTGACCAGTCTGAATGGCGTCAGATCTGTCGCAAGCATGGCACGCTTTCACCGACAGAAATACGTTTGGCAGGAGATCATATCCCAAAGACCTCTTATCAAAGAACTTGAAGATTCTGACTAGACTCTAGTGAAAAGGCATACGTAACTTGTAAGGCAACTGATGACATTACGACTTATTTCACTATAGAATTGTACATTATAAGACAGGAAGATTCGATGAAGGAATAATAGAAATGTTTATAATAATATGATACTAGTTCCTCTCTTAGTTGTCTGACTATGACCAAATTATCATAAACAGAGAAGTATATTTCTTGAGCGAAATAGAAGAAAAACGGGAAGTTTCTGCCATGACCAATGAGACCAGTTTGCCACATTTTGAGCAAATGAAAGCTTCATTTCCACTTGAGGGTGTGTCCAGCTTGTAGGCTCCTCTCTTGGCTTCAGCACCATCTCCTCGTTTCGAATAAACGCTTTTCCCGGTAGAATAGCCCCCCCCCCCAATCTCCACCTTCCTGTAATAGAAAAACACAAATTTGAATTTGATTACAAAATAATTTGACGTTCTTTTTCTTTATGTTCCCTCGCTAGTTCTATTGGGAAGTCGACTGCTGGTTCTGCAACCTGCGGTGCTGCTGGGTTTACGTATGTGACCGTTTTTGTTACGTCGTGAGCCCCTAGCTTTCAGGCAGCCACATTCATAACGAGATAGGAATATACGATGTATTTGAATTGATCACAAACTATTCTTTCTTATTTCACTCTTTCAATCGGCAATTTTATGAAAACAAGATTTTGAACTGAGAATTTTTGAATTGCAACTTCGCATCTATCCTGCTTTGTAGGTAATGGCGTATACATTAAAATCATTATTTCCCCAAGTTTTAGTTATCCTTTTGTAAGATATTGTGAAAAACAATTTTGCTGTAAATTTGCTCTTTTTTGCATTAGTCAGAAGTGACGGAATGCGTTCCTTATTAATTGTCCAACATTTGGATTTTACCGAAACAGAAGTTTGCGTTGTGAATGTAGAAAGCATCGAATCCACTGATACATGTACTAGAAAGCACACTGTTCGAAGGTCGACAACCTTTTGGTCAGGGGATTGCGTCGATCACGTCCTCATACTAAGAGCAGGTATGATTTTCCCCATCAGGAAACAGATAGCCCTGTCTGTTGAAATATTGTTGTGTAACATATCAAACTACTACTATAACAATAAGTGTGACTGTGTAAAGAATACTTTTGGTGTTTTTTGGGTCACCGTATATAAATAAAACCACCCACTATATAATGACATGATAATCCTTCATATTGTGGTCTTTTATTTTATTTAACAAATATTTCGGTTTCTGTCTATTTATCGTAGCATTCTTTGTTGTCTGTCAAGACCTGGGCATTGTTTGTTTGACCTGAGTACGACAAGCTCACAATTGCTTTAAAAAATAACAACAACAGGATTCTGCTCCAAAGAGGCCACCACATGCCTGCTGTTGCCTCTGTCTACCTGTCTTACTTTTTCCTGGGCCCAACGATTGTTATTGTGTTAATGTACTTATGTGCCAGCTGACCAGAAGAAACGTTCGTTTTAGGAAATGTTAATAACTTTCTTGTCTTTGATTCGATTGACATCAAAATTGACCGGAAGCTAGAACATACATCCGGATTATGTGGGGGGTTTTTTCTTTCAAAAGCTTAATTGCTGTTGAACAAAGGGGATATGATAAATCAGTTAGCTCCATGTACAACATGCTTTTTTAGTTTAATCTATAGGTATCAACAACAAAATTCTCCCAAATCGTCCTGTGCATGCTTTGCTCGGGAATATGGGATAGATGTCTCTAACAAATACGACTTTCCAAGTAAAAAGTCCATTTCGTAATGCCCTGCAAATTCTGAAAGGTTTTGTCTATATAAAATAAGATTTGAATTCTTGGCGCCGAGTAAAACACGGCAGGTAGCGTGTAAAAACAAGGTAGGGACTCTTGAAAAGGTTAAGGAGGTCTTTCATTCAGTGAATTCTGACCGAATTCTCGTCACCTTACAAAATCCTGGCAGGGATTTGGACTTTAATTTGTGGACGATGAAGGGAGAACCAACACTTCCAGCAAGATAAGGCTAGCATTTTCACAATCTGTGCATAACGCGAGGAGCGAAATTTGATGCTGAATTACAAAGTTGTGTTTTATTTTTATTTTAATGATTCTCTTCTCCATTACACCTTTTATTTTTGTTCGCTTTCGGCACACTACTTCACTGTAAATCTATTCATATTGCCTGAAATCTACAAGACATGGGAGAGACGATGGGGTGTGCGGGGAGGGAGCAAATCGGCGAAAATCTTTTGATTTAGTTAAGTTCTAGACCTATCTCGTAAAGACTTGTGTGTGAAATATTGTCAAGCAACCTGGATGTGCCGAGCGCCGTGTGTAGCCTAATGCCTAATGTGTGCTGTCACAGTACTGTGTAGTTTTGGCGGCCAGTTTGCTGGCGGTACAACGGGGTAAATTAACAGTACATGTAGTAATAAGGACCGTGCAACAGAAGTAGTCGGCGGATGGCGGAATAAAGGCGCAAATGCTATGTTTTTACGAAGGGGATTCTTTTCGAACATTGGAAAAACCAGGCGGTAAGCGGGGCTGGCGGTACAACGGGGGCCGGTACAACGAGATTTGACTGTAGATTAAAATCGTCTGTTGAGTATGACGACACAACAACCATTATGTTGATTCTTCAGAGTGCGGAGATTCCGGATGTGCGTAGCAGGTCAGCTAAGTTCCGAATGGAGGGTAGAAGTGGACCTTTACCGAAAATTGTTACAAACGGTTTTTGCTCGCTTTGACACAATTGACATCATTTAGAGAACGGGCTGTTTTCGAACCTACCTATCGTGGCGAACGCAACATGTTCTTATGCACAGTAGAATTGTAAATGGGCTGATTCATCAATGTCGTGCTCATAAATGTGCCTGAGCTGCAGAGGGTAACTGCTGCCTTTTCTTTCCTAATCCTTTCTATCGTCATTATTCCTCTACTTCTTTAGTGCAGTATGTTTGTCACACTCTTGTGACCAGCTATTTTCGGGGTGCTTTGATAGTCGAAGCAGACGTTCTACTGTTGAAGCTTGGCAGGTGAGCAGATTAAGCCTGATTCCCTGCATGGACTTCTCTGTTGGCATCCACCCCTTGGCGCTCATATGACCTTATGCAGTTGCGAGCGCCGTAAAAACTATACAACCCCCCCCCCCCTCCCGGGCTGAGTGAGGTACAACATCTAACGAAAAGACAGGAATGCTCGATAAGTTAATAGATTTCCCCCACGGTCAGGACATCAAGCAATAAGGGGCCTTTGATTTTCTTTGCTACCCAGACCCAAAGTATCTGAATGCTTCCCGAATATGTAGTCTTATTCCAGACCATCCTAATCGTAATCTAACACATTTTCAAAAGTTTCAGTAAGAGTTGCACGGCACTAGCAACACTATTAGGTCCTATAAATGCCGAAGATTAGAGGTGTTACAAGAGAGTAACATAATACAAAGGAAAGAAAGGGGAGATGATGACGACACGTTAGCCGTTGAATATAAAAGAAGCAGCAAACAACACCAGACCGCCCATCAGTCTCCGTTGGTTGGAATTGTGCTGAATTTCTGCATAGATGTACCTGGTTTTAGGCTCGAGTTTTGCATTCTTGAACCTCGGTGGTTCTTAACGATTTCACGAGTTTCCACTTGCTTTGTTCTGTCCTATCGGAAACATACGTGAAGATATAAATCCCACCTGTTTAATAACTTCATTACCTTGAAAAGTTTTTGATTTACACTATTAGTAGATGTATCAGAGACTAGGACGATGCTGTGTATTTTTCTGGTAACCACCCGAAAAATGTTAACATAACCGGTTTGGGAATTTCCTCCGTCTCAAGTGCCTTATCTGACATACTATAAGAAGGCATTTGCATCCTAAACAAGCAACGAAAGGCAACTGGTCTGACTTGTTATCTTTCTGTTAACTTGAAACTCATGCAGATAAACTCCAGTGTTTCTATGTTTTCTCTATCTATTCAGTCCTCCCACCCCCCTTTCAATGATACGTGTTTTCCATTTTTTTTCAAATAAAGGCTTAAACAAAAACGAACTGGTATCTGTGGTATAGCAGCTAGGCGCTTCACTGTCGAACATGACATGAGTTAGATTCCCAAGTGGGGAGACTTTCCATCATGAATCCCTTTCTGTATGCTAGGGCGTTGTATCCCTATCAGCTCAGGTTGACGCTGGAAGGCAAAGCAGCCCGTCTCCTAAATGGTCTACGATGGCTCGATTTTGGGGGGGGGGGGAACATCTATAAGAACATTTCTAAATTACAAACAAAAGCTATAGACCCTTTTAAAAATCCTTTCTGAGTTACACGCCGGTACATGTTCTTCTTTACACGTTGTGACTAAGTACTGATAACATATTTTTCAGTAGTTCCCCAACGTTGTTGAATAAACTGTACTACTTTTGCAGTGTTTTCAAACCTTTAGAGGAGATCACAATTTGCTGGGGCTCTCGTGGCCTAGAGGTTAAGGTGTTGGCCTCTCATTCAAAGGTCCCGGGTTCGAATCCGGGTAGCGACCGAACAATTTTCTTCTCTAAAAGTGTCTCCTTTCACCTCCTCTAGCAATATTCTGTCGTCTGCTTTCGTCTCCATTTTCTGCCTGCCCCCCCCCCTCACCTCCTTTGCTCTCTCCTCTGGGCTCCAGGCTCTTTCTGCTGCCTTATAGTATGCTACTGTCTACTACTCCTTGGCTCCTTTTTACTGCTGTCCTTCAGCCACACTTCTGGTCTTCTGGTAGGAAAGATCTACACCTAGCCTTCTTGGACAAGGGCGAAAAATCTCGGAAGGCTCGTGTGCAAGTTGCGCACAT